ATAATTTGTTTGTGGTACACTTGTCTGTGTGATTAGAAAAGACAATGACATAAGCTCTACCCTGAAGCTACATTGGCAATCATGTGGATTTTGAGCGTGAACTGAGGGTACCACTGAAACAGAAACCTTATTGGATTTTGCTGATAACTACATTTGAGTTAGTTGTCATTGTGGCTGTGAGATAAAAAGCAGAAGAAGAAGTGTGTAGTCTGAAGGAAATAACTGACTCAGTGTTCGGAAATTGCTCTTAAATGGGTCAAGAAAGTTTTGTTGAATATTTAGTTCTGTTAGAAGAACTGATGCCTTCACCTGTTCTTAATCCCTTACCTGTGAAACCAATCTGCTAGAGTCGTCTGCATGGTGGAACTTCTGCCAAAGTTTTATTAATATAACTTGTCATGCCAGTACTATAAAAATGCCCCATTTGCTGTTGACAAATTACCGGACAATTTGTATTTTCAGACTGAAGAGTGATCTGTGGCTGATCTAAACATTTTCCATTTGAATACAAATAGTATATTACTTCAACTGTGGTTATCAGGCCAAGATAGTGCTGAACAGACTACGAGTAACCAACCAACACAACCTGTCAACAGTGCTGAGCTGAGAGACGGTTAAAGCCTCTTACAAATATATTCCATGTTTACATCCCGTGCATAATGCAGTCAGTGGGGTGAAATTATCTCACTGCATTTTTGTTAATCTGAAGCAACTGTAAACCCCCCTTTGAGTGGGCGCTATATTAAAATATGATCACATTAGTTGTTTTTTTTTTATTGATCCTGATTCAACATTTTTGAAACATGTTTTAGAAAGTGATTGTTTTGCACAAGTAGAGTGGTGCATTTAAATATTTTAGAGCTGGGCAATACACCACATTGAAGTTGTTGTCGCAGTTTTGCTTGGATGCAACTTATAGTAAAATGTTTTGTTTTGCATTCACTCTCTGGATACGAATAGTATATTTGGTCAGTTGGATGAACTAAGACTGCTTTTGTTGCCCACATCAGATTTATATATTTTAGTCGCTGAGTTGCTTAGCCTCATTTTAGACAAAGAAAGAAAAGCGTCCGTAAAATGTAGGTTAAACGTAGTGGCTGTACAACTAGTGTTGGACAATATGGCTGAAAAACTTATCCCAATAGAAGCGTTTCATATCAGTCAATATCAATAATTACTGATTAGTCTTTAGTTGTCAAGATCTGAAATACTGCCAAACTAGTGATGCGATTTTTCCTCTTTTAGTTTTCACTCCATTCTGCTGTTTATTTTTAAGCAGTTGCTGCACTAGTTACTTGGCAAACAGGTGGTTGCTAGGTAACCAAAGACTGAGGGAGTTAGTTGATGCCACCCACCTTGTGAGAGGCTGAGCAGCTAAAGCCTGTCATCTGCTTATATCTCCCAAAAATGCTCCCAAAGTGCAGTTCTGCATCGGAGTTCAGTGTATATTTTATATAGAATTTTGAATATTCTGCCAGATCTATTATTTATTGATCTTGATTACATTTTCCAGCTATATGTGCAATATTCAGCTAGAGAGGCAAACTGTTAGTTAAATACTTAGAGATTTCCTTTAATCTTTAAATTTCATCCTGTTAGTCTATACCAGGGGTCCCCAAGCTACGGCCCGTGGGCCGGATCCGGCCCGCCACGTCATTTGGTCCTGCCCCCTGAACAAAGCCGGATCCGGCCCGCCTGCTCATACCAGAGAGCATTCAGTGTTTTTTTTTTTTTTTATCATATATTGTATTTTCTGGTTTATATGTGGATTTTTCTTCAACCACCAGGGGGCTTGAGCAGATGTGAAACTAACTTTCCCTCAATGGAATATATACTAGTCAGTCACCGTTTCACTCACGGTTTTTTCCATTTGCATTCTGGGTAAAAATCTATGTAAAAACGCGAATGTCTCGTTCCGCCCGCCCCCCGTAGAAAAGAATTTTCTAAGGTTTCTTTCTCCAAATACTAAGACCGGCCCCGACCAGAGAAAGGAACAGCTATGTGGCCCTCGCAGGAAAAAATTTGGGGACCCCTGGTCTATACATTATGAGTGTAGGGTCTAATTTAATATGAGGATGTGTGTTTTGTTCAGCTCAAGGGAATTCACTCAATGCAAGATATAAAGCTCATCAGAAAATTTAAGATTTTAGTCATTTTGACTATTTTTTTATTTTATTTATAAATAAGTATGCTAATATCTTGGCCAGACCACCAAAGTATTAATGCTAATATTGAGCTCTGCTGTAAGAGGTAGTTCTCATTATATTTACAGAATTCAAACCACTTCCACATCCTTAAAGCGGCGCAACTTGTTTTTTGAACGTTTTGTGGGTTACTCTACCTTCCTACCCCCATTTGGATCCACTTTGCTTAGTGAGTATTAGATTATTTTGATGTGACACCTTCAAATTAAGAACACATTCTTTTAGCGGTGTTGGCACTGAGTGATATACGGTTGATTCTCTGGGTTTGTCTGCCAGACCTATCCACCCCAGTGACACAGACCAATCAAGCATTTTAGTAGGTGGAAAAAAAGAAAAAGGAAAACATGGTGCCAGGATTTGATTTGGAGTTGGTCCAGTTAAAACACAAGGAAAAAGAATAATGTCTACATTCCAGCCTGTGATGTTTCTACTATTCTCAGTCTTAACTTTGAACCTGATGTTATGTTGCTGTATTGAGAGTGTAATATGGTAGTGGCCTACCTTAAAAGTATGCATCACACAGAGAACTGTACTAAAATGTTGTGGAATTGTCATTTTTCAAGTTGTACTCTCTGTATGCTCTTGTAAAGTACATATCGAGATCTTTTGCAGTGAGGATGTAAGGGGTGAAATATTTATTTCATCCCTTACATTTCTTCTGCTTTTGAAATTTTAGTGGCTTTTATTCAACAGTAAATGGACATGCGTTATGAGGCAGTTATTAATAAGCAGTAAAACTGAGAACTATTTGCCTGGCATTGTCCTGTTGATCAGGTGCCCTCAGCAATTCACAGCCAGGCCGACTTATCGTTGCACAACTCGAACTGCAGACGGCAAATTAGCTCCGACTTCCTCCCTCTATTTCTAATGGGTTTCCTTCTGAGTGGAGCAGTAAACAGGGCGTTACTGATGGGAAGCTTGGGATGATTTTCATTCTGAGTTCAACACAGAAAAACCTTTGATGAAACATATGAAGTTAAAGATTTGCATGAGTGTTTGAGCTAACTTGATGTGTGTTAATAACCAGATTTTCCTATCATATGCGGAAAAAAATTCTTACACGTCTAAGGATATCCTGTAGTTGTGTAAGTAGTTAAATGTGCAACCAACAGGATAATGTTATGTGGTAGGTGGAAATACTATCACCACCCTTCACTGTGTTGTGGAACGTTACCCAGAGTGTTGTCTGATTGTCTTTAATGAGAAGGTCACTTTCCTAAAATAATGGCCAAAGTAATATTTTTGCCAAAAGTCATTTTGGAAAAAAGAAAAGAAAAGTCAGCACCTCTTTTTTTGCCAAAAACGGTGCTGATTTGCTAAGGCAAAAAAGAAAATTTTAAGAAGGTGATGATATGAAATCTGAAAAGTGCGTCATTGATTTGTAGTCAGTGAGTATTGAGTCAATACCAAATCACAGGTTTGTCATCTATCATCGCAGAAATCTTTTTCCATTCAATGCAAAACAGGTGAACTTAGTCAGATTGGATGCTGTTCAAGTCTTGTCACCGATCCTCAATTACATTTAGGTCTGGACTTCGGTTCATTTCAGCAGATGTTCCAGCTTTGGCTGTATTTTTTGTGGTTATCTTGCTTGAAGTCACCCACAGGTGCATTTAAAAATTAGGTGATTTCCAAAAGTAATTTGTTACACTGGATGTTATCTACTGGTGTCAGATTTCAGTTATTTGCCAGTGGCTGAAATCAATACATGCTAGAGTCATATATCTATGATGTTGTTGCTTGTCAAGAAATTTGCAAACTGAGTAATACTTCCTGGAAGACTTTCTAAGTTGAAAAGAATGACAACGTTCTTATTCATTTACTTTGACTCAACACAGGCTGCATGTCAGATGCCTTGACAGCAGGGCTGGCTTTACTCCTACCCTGAAATCCTAGAAATTTAAGAATTGGAGTTTTAATAATTATTCAGAATCAAGCATTTTTGCCTTAAAAATAGAAAGGGTAATAGGATATTAAAAAGCTGATTTGAGAATGAATCATGACTTCACCCTGTGTTATCGTAAATGGTTGTTAATAGGACGCCTTAAAGCAAAGAGGCGACGCGGAGCAGTTCGCCCCTCTTTGTTCAAAGGTGATAAAGCTTACGGGATGTTCTCTGCTGACATGTTGCCAGCAACAGATTGGAAACATCAGTGACTACATCTGCAGTGGAATGAGTATCATGTTTTTTTAGATGTTAGTTTGGGATAAATACAAATTTGCAGCCAAAGAAACGAGCAAAATACCCATTAAACTAGGTTAATTGTAAAAATGTTCCACTTTTATCTGTCCACAGTGCATAACCCAGTTTTTTTTTGTTTTTTTTTAGGAAATGTGATTTGAATCTTTGTGCTTTTGCTCCTCATATACCATTTTTCCACCAGTCTGTTATTTATTGTTAAATGATGAACTCTGACCTTAATTTAGGCAAATGAAGGCTGTAATGCTTTGGATGTTGTTCTGGGTTCTTATTTGTTCTCCTGGATAAGTTGTTGTTGTGCTATTGGAGTAATTTTTGCAGACAGGCCACTATTTGGTAGATTTTCCACAGTTCTTTCCATTGATGGATAATGGCTCTCCTTGTGTTTTTCTGGGGTCTCACACCCTTAGAAATGTATTTTCAATCATTTTCAAGACTGATTTATGATAGTGAATTTGTTTCTTAGTTGTTCTTAAATGTATTTAGATCGGGGCAAGATGTTGCGCTATTTGATATTTTTAAAAAATAATATGTGATTAACATTTAAGAGGTGACCAAACGTATAACACTTAATTTTGTTATGTTCCGTTTTCCAGAACTGCCTAATCATGGCCCAGTGGTTGGAGATGAGTTATGTCCTGACTAACATGGACGATGAGCGAATCAACACGCTCTATCCGCCAGACACCTTCCCGATTGAAATCAGGCATTATCTTTGCCAGTGGTTGGAAGAAAAAGATTGGTAAGACACCGATGCAGAGATGCATGCTTGTAACAGCATGCACTGTATGTACAGTATCTTGCAAAAGTACAACCTCTTGAACTTCCCCACATTTAACAGCCACAAAACTTCAATATATTTTTATAGAGTCAACCTGTTTATTTTAATCTAAGTGGGTCTATTTTGTGAAGGCTTCAGAAGTTTCTTCAGAGAATATTAATGAAGACCAAGCATAGCGCCAGACAGATCAGGGATAAATTTACAGAGAAGCTTTAAAAAAAAAAACAAAAAAACAAACAGCAATTTTTAAAAACTTTAATCCAGCTCCTGAATATCACAGAGTGGTATAATCTTGGCATAGGAAGAAAGTGGCACAACAGCATCTCGAAAAAGACATGGCCATCTACCTCAACTAATGGGCATGGCAAGTAGGTACAGAAATTATAGTAAAGTCCCATTAATTTTAAAAAGGGCGTTTACTATGACAAGAGGGAAATCTAAAAAACTTAAGTTAGAAAATCTAGAGCAGGGATGCCCAAAGTTGGTCCTCGAGGGCCGGCATCCTGCATGTTTTAGTTTTCTCCCTGGTTTAATGCACCTGGATCAAATGGTGGCTCATTAGAGACCTAAGAGGAACATTGACCTGCTGAAAAGGTTGTTCCTATCACCAGGGAGAGAACAAAAACATGCAGGATGCCGGACCTAGAGGACCGACTTTGGACACCCCTGATCTAGAGGGTGACGAAAAGAGAAACATTAGCTTCGGAGCTAGCTGACTTTCACTTCATTGTTATGCGCTACATTTTGTTGATGCATCACAATATCTAAACAACAAAACACATTGAAATTCATGGTTGACAAAATGTGAAACAGTTGTAGGGGTAGGAATGCTTTTACAAGCAGCTGTTCTGCAGTTTGCTTGTTGGCTGTGTGATAATGGACAATTTTGTGTGTGCTTACATTTTCTATCTGTACGTGTGTGGTTGTGTCCTCACAGGGAAGGTTTTAGCCCAGACCAGTCGGACAAAGAGCCAATCGCGCAGGCTTTACTGAACGACGCTGTCCTCCTCTTAGAATCGGTTGCTGAGCAGCAGAATATAGTGGAGAGGATGAAGCTGTTGCAGATAACAAAGAACATGGTGGGTGGATGATCAGATTCTTTCTGTTAAAAAAAACAAACAAAAAAAAGTGAAACATTTGACCAAATAAAAACAGCATTAAGAAAAATGTTATGTGATTTTCATACGGAAGGGTTGAACGAGACATTGCTGGATATGTCTGCAAACATTTCAGCAAAATGCTTAAAGACCATGTGCCACATATCAGGTGGACCTGATACGTGGCACACTGAAAATCAGAGCTGCATTTACAGATGACTCGGCCAGCTATGGAGTTTGCTGTGAAGATCAGAAACATTTTCAGGCAGGAGAAGATGATACTCTGTGAGGTAAGAAACCTTTTATATTTCTTATTTAGAATAGTTGTGACGATCCTTAAGACATCCCCCACTTTCCTTACAGTTTTTAATAATTACTTGAACAGTTCTCAACCTAATTTTAGTAGTTTCTGTATTCTCCTTTTATTTTGGCTAAGCAGTGTATATTTTCAAGTATAAGTCAAATCACCATAAGCTGCCTGTTGTTTGCCAAATAAACTGACTTGCAAGTTACTTTTGATGCTCTCCAGTGCTCTGCAAATTAAAATAACAATGTTCTGTGTTAGAAGCTCGCCAATAAACGGGCAGAAGGGAAGACTCCTGACTTTGAGGAATTGAGTTTCTTGAAGAATACAGTGTTTCAGCTCCAGGACCGCAGAAAAAGATTCCACAGCTGTAAAGAGGATATCAACTGGGAGATGGTAAACTTTGAAGCTCTGCAATGTAAGTACTGTTTGCTTTTCAGCTGTATGTTGGTGTGTACTGCACCGAAGCACTGGGCTTTCGTATCTTCAGCAGTTCTCTCAAAAACGTTTTATGACTCACTTTAATATCTGATTATATCGACATAAAAAGTGCAATTATCACATTCATGAAGCATATCAAGTATTATAACCCACAGTTATATTTGTGTCCCTTTGATCTGCTTGAATCCAGTGGGCCAACATTTCTTCACATTTCAGTCAATTATGTTGACGCTAAAAGACAAAAACAGGAGAAGTGCTCAGGGTCTTGCTTTTATTTTTATCCAAAAAATGTAATCTTGACTCCTATGCAAAGGGCACTGAAATGTATTTGTCGGAAATGCAGTGGTGCTGTGTGTTCAGTGTGTTACCCGTGCTAATGCTAACCGTTTGCATCCACAGCCGTTCATGCAAAGACTCCATCGGAACATTCACTCAGAGAACTACAGATGTTGTCAAAGAAAATCCAGGAGCTCAAGATAAATCAAAGCAGTCTGGTCCGGGTGAGACAACATTAACGGTCCTTTGAGTCATGAACATAATGGTATTTTAGTTTAACATTGTGTGACTATCCGTATGCATTCTGTTCTTCTGCTATGCACATCTTCATAAATCAACAGTATACACAGAGAAGATGCAGCTATCTGGTGGAGACAGCTACGGCTATCTTATTATAGGGATTAAAGAGCCCTGGATGTGCAAGAAAGTACAACATATTTTTGGTTCATAGAACACTGTCCCAGCAAGTTTTATAATATTTCACCTTTTTGTGTAACTCTGTGATGATTACACACCAAATTATAATCTAGTGTTCCTTTTAATTTAATGAATGAATCAAATTCATACGCCGCTTTCCTTGCAAAGGTTCTCATCTATAAAACACACACCTGATACTTGTATACTCACACCAATTCATATACGCATATACCATATACGCTCGTTTTGGAAACAGGCAAAATGACATATTCACACGGCTCTCTTTTAACAGTGGCTTTCTTCTTGCCACAATAAAGACCAGATTTATTAAAAACATGACCAAAGGTTCTTCTGTTGGCAGATGTTCCCAGCTAAACTGTGGATAATCTCAAATTATTGCCGTTTCCTCTTAGCGTAGGTAGACATCCATGTTCGGTAGGTTTACAGTTGTGATGTACTCTTTCCATTTTCAGGTGACAAACCGAACTGTGCTCTGGTAGATGTTCAAAGTTTTGGATATTTGTTTTACAACACGACCCTTCTCCACAAATGTATCTCTGCTGTGTTTCTTGGTCTTCATGATGCTGTTTGTTTAGTAATGTTCTTTAACAAACCTTCAAAGAGGATTTTGTATGGATTTTGTATGCTTAAATATCACTTGCCTTCCACGTCTCAATTATACACTGCTTGCTGCTCATACATTCATCTGTCGATATACAAATTTACCTTTCTGCTGTAAAGTCTGTTAGCATATTTGTCTAGGTTTATGTCCATTCCATGACTGAGCAGTATTTGGATTTTGGGTATTGGTGTCAATATATGCATTTGGTTGTTTGCAGGAATGTTTGGGGATGTTCACAGAGACTCTGACCAAGCTGAAACAGTGTCAGGATAATTTCATCGTAAAGATGAACGTATGGCAGTGGGAGCAGCACAAATCCGTTATAGGATATCCTTTCTCTGATGACCTCACCCATCTGCAGAACTGGTGAGATGTTCCCCTTTCTACTTGTGCCTTCGCGCTTTGCTGACTCTTTCTCTTATCCAAGTGAAAAGCATGACATTACGCAACAATATCAGATTTTAGCTCAATAATCCCATGCATAGTTCCTGGTTTCTAAAAAGGGATTTAGAAACACTTTTAGAAAAGTGAATCCTTTTGGTCCAAAAGCAGACTGACTGGGGTTCGACACCCTATGTGATTGTGTTTGTGTTGATGCGAGACTGGTGGCCTGAGCTGGATGGATGAACATCTCACACATTGTCATGACACTTTTTGAGATTGGGATTTAAAAGAAGAAGAAAAAATTATTCTATCCTCATCCTGTTTGTTAGGTCCGAACAGCTGTTTGCGGTGAACAGTAACCTTCGGCAGGAGTGGCTGCTGATCCCTGATCTTCCAAAGGAAATCGGAGAAAAACTGACAGGTCTTCTTCAGGAGCTGATTCAAAGGTACACACCTGTCACACTCTCATATTCTCTGATATAGGATAAATTATTCAGCTTAGCACCCCCTAAAACTAATCCCTAACTCTACAACGCCACTTCTTCTTATAGGGCCTACACTTTGGGCCCTATGGGAACCCATTAGGACCCACTGCTCCTTATTTAAAAAAACCTCTTTAAACAGGAGATGGTTTGGTTTAGCTAAAATTGGCTAATCTTTTTTGAGCTGTCTGTTTTTGTGGAGAGGTGAAATATTGTTTAGCGGACCATTGGCAGTTTTGCTGCAGACTGACAGTGAGTGTGATGAATGTATTTTTCATTTTTCAGCGTCACTAACCTATACCAGTTAACAAAAATTAACAACAGATTCAATAAAACAACTATAAAACATTCTCATAAAGCTACTGTCCTTAATAAAAATCCTTAATTTCGGTTAAAAGTGCAAACATTGGTGAGCTTTCTTGCATACAGTGTCTGCATGCTCGCTAAAAGCATGTGGAAAGTGCATATGGCATCATTAACTCCTCTACACACTTTCTTAGCTAGATACACTTTGTGAAGAAGACACGTTGTTTTTGTTTTTTGTCATTGATTACGTTTCTGTCTTTCAGCTCTTTTGTTGTGGAAAAACAACCCCCTCAGGTCATTAAAACTCAGTCAAAGTTCTCCGCAGTTGTGAGATATCTGCTGGGGGAATCGCTGGTGTCTGGGCAGCCTGTGACAATGAAGGCACAAATTATTAATGAACTCCAAGCCAGAAACGTGAACCTTGCATTGTGGTGAGTATCATACAACACCGCACTGGATGTTTTTTGTTATTATTATTATTATTATTATTATTTCTCTTTTCTCTAATGTTTTTGTAATGAAGCAAACATATAAAATTGTGTCATTTGGATTGTATGTCATTAAAACCTGCACTTAAAATTATGCCAAGAAAACTGAATGTGATTGGCTGCTGTAATGTAACAGGATAAATCTGAGCAATAAACTTAAAATCATGCTGTTCACACTGAAACCCAGCTTTTCAGAAAAACCTTAATTTGAGCAGGACGTCTAACGAGAGCCATCTCACGTTCTTCGTTTAGATATTTTAATTTGTTCAAACTATGCAGTAGATAGAGCTCGTTTTTATTGGTGATTTGAAATTATATGAAAAAAGACAACAGAAGGTCTAATTAAAGTTTAGCTCTCCAGTTTTATTTTGAAATGGTAATCACCATGTGCTGCATTTGGGAGGGAATAACCTGGAATCTGTTATACGCAGCGACAATGTCGGAGAACTCATAAATCACACAGCAATCCTGGACAGAAACACAGCCACAAAGACCACAAACGCCAACTTCAGACACATGGTATTTAACGTTCCTCATTCAGAGTGTCACGTATTTGTCGGATTTTCCGTCTTAAATGTTCTGATCTTTTTCTTCAACAGTCCATTAAAAAAATAAAGCGAGCAGACCGGAAGGGAGCCGAATCTGTGACAGAGGAGAAGTTTGCGCTCATGTTTCTTGCAGAGATTTTCATCACAGGTCATGAGACTCCTTTCAAGATACATGTACGTATATGTTGATTCAGCATATATTTAGTCCAGTAGTGAATATGCATCTTTTTAAATTTACTGCAGCTCAATAATGAATAAAAAAGGAATTTAAATTTTTAAAAGGCCACGTTTAAGATGACATTTAGGGTCATGACGAAGTTGTGCAAATCCAGAACTGCAACTGTTTCTACCTGAACTGTCACACTGAAAATGCTAACATGTTAACTAATAAGTCCATTCAGACACCAGTGTCCTCATGACAGTTAAGGGATAAACTCTCACTGGAATAAAAAACGATACACACTCAACTTCTGCCATAAACATTACAACTTTGTAAGCATACATCATCTCTTATCCGTTGCTACAGATAAACTCTCAGCCTGTGGTCGTCATTGTTCACGGCAGTCAGGACATCAATGCCGTGGCCACCATCATCTGGGATTGTGCGTTTGCTGAACCAGTAGGTGTCCAGTTGTTATTGGGTTTCCATTATTCCTTCATGTTTCTATTTCTCAACTCTTCTCGTCCATATAAATAGTCACTCTGAATGTTCGTCACAAGTTGTACGAAGCTAAAGCAGGTTTGGCATCTTGCCTCTGACAATTGTCTCGGGGAACGACCCGTCCAGCAATGACAATCAGTTACCCAGGAACCAAATATTCAAAATATTAAATTCTATTTCTGTGGATGTTTTTCAGAAAATAAAATGAGTTTTTAACTCATTTTATGTGATCATCCATAAAAAATAAAAATACATTCTTTGCAGTTTGCTCAGTGAACTCTATTTGGAGACACTGTAGTTCCATACAATTCATAGTGAACTATGGCATTACAGTTCTAACCGGGTTGGTTCCCGGGGCAAATAGGCTCTCCAAAAGCCCCGACTTCACTAATGTTGGGGACGGACATGCTCCATCGTGACACACCCTTTTAAATCACCTCAAAATCCTTTGAGTCTGATTCAAAAATCTTTTTCATTTTGAATTTGAAAAACATGAAACAAACTAGAATAATACTACAAACTTCCATTCCCATTCATGGTATATGAAGCCCAATGCTTTAGAAAAAACTATTAAAAATTGAACCAATAGTCAAATATTTATGAAATTATTCTGTACTACCATTGCATTTCAAGGAATTCATGCCGCCTAAGACGAGATGCCGCCTTGGGCAGCTGCCCACATCGCCCATATCAGAAACCGCCACTGCCTTGGCTTGCAGCTCAGAGGGGCAGCAGCCTCCAGATTGTCTACATACTCTTGTCATATCATGCCTTATTTTCTGTTTCTGTCTGAAGGACCGAGTGCCCTTTGTCGTCCCGGACCGTGTGACTTGGAAGATGATGATTGAAACTCTGAATGTTAAATTTTGCTCAGAGGTTGGGACAAATCACAACCTGAACCCCTACAACAAGCACTTCTTGGCTCAAAAGATTTTTGACCAGCCTGAATATGCAAATGACTTGAGCGATTCTGTGGTTACTTGGTGCCAGTTTAATAAAGTAAGCAGTGGTGTGTAACTTTTTTTTTCAGACATCAGCTGGCGCACAAGTCTAAATGCTGTCTTTAACCTTAACAGGAGGTCCTCGCGGGTCGAAATTTCACTTTCTGGCAGTGGTTTGAGGGAGCAATGGATCTCACCAAGAAACATCTGAAGCCCTACTGGAGTGACGGGTGAGAAGATGGTTATTGTCTTTCAGTCAATAATGAAGGAATCCCATGATATCCAGTCACGATGACCACTGTTTGCTCTTCTAGGCTGATTTTTGGTTTCATTGGAAAGCAACATGTCCACCTGATTCTCAAAGAATCTCCCAGCGGGACTTTCCTCCTTCGCTTCAGTGACTCAGAAATCGGAGGCATCACCATCGCTTATGTTTCTCATGAGAGTAAGTGTTGGCTTGACAACTTCGATTACATTTATTTTGAACCATTTGATTAAACCTGGCAGGTTGTAATTTCGAAAGAAAAAAAAATTGATCACTATTTGGTCTTGAATAGCAAAAGAAATACCGTAATATCAATATACCATAATATCCAGACAATATTGGAAATGTCTGTTGATGTTGCATGTTTATGCTTCCAAATTTATTTTAAAAATCCATAATTTTTTGCTAAATTATTGAAGCAGGGTCTTGTCCTTCTAATGTGTCAGGCTCTATAGCAGTGGTTCTTAACCTTTTTTGAGGTACCGAACTCACCAGTTTCATATGCGCATTCACTGAACCCTTTTGTAGTGATAAATAAAATATGATTCTCCCCCCTAACCCCCACATTCAAGACATAAGGGTGACCCAACTAGAGTCTAGTTGGGTCAAGATAACTAAGTCTACTTAAAAGGTAGAGTCTCTGAGAACAGTTCTTCAAAATATAGTCAGTGTTTTCAGCAAAGTTGAGCTGACTGTCCAGGATCGACCCAAATTTGCCACAGTTTCAACAGGTTGGCCATCGAGAGAAACTGGAACCACTTAAGGTCTTGTTTAGATCATTTAATTAGCTCTACATTCTTAAGAGAATGAAAAATTTATAATAAATAATAAAGACTTTGCGGTATTCTGATTTATCAATGTAATTATATTAGTTGTGTTACCACCCCCACGCCACTAGAGGCAGTAGCAGGCCCGAAAAGATGCAACTAAGGAGCAGATTTAGAAGTACACCGAAAGCTACAGAATTTGGTAAAAACGGTGAGTTTTGCTGAAGTAATTAAAGACACAGGTTCAAATCCATGCTGAGAGTGGAGCTCCTCCGCAGCTCTGATTGGCTCAGCAATGTAACGTGATCCTCTGCAGCAAGTGATGGCAAAGCAGGGCGTAATAACGACTTTGCACAAGTGTGTCTTTACCTCCGCGGCAGAGGCTCCACCGAACCCCTGAGACCGACTCACCGAACCCCTGGGGTTCGATCGAACCCAGGTTAAGAACCACAGCTCTAAAGGTTGTCTCTGAAGCTGTCACCATTTAAAAAAAAACATACAAACACCGTTGAGCTACGTCTAAACTATTGGTGGATTCACCAACAGCCAGAAATCAAGTTAGCTTTCCTCAGCTGGGTCAAAATAGTTTTAAAAGCTTCTGACTCTAGCGTGTCCGTCGTTTTTCAGTCCGGCCCACTGACGATGAGTTCACTCATCAATGTTCCCTAAAGGCTTGCAGATGTAAGAGAAAGGTTGTTCAACAATGGAAACACCTTTATGAAGACAGATGCACACCACAGTTTGCTGATGTTTCTCTAGAAACATTAAGATAGACAAACACCATAAAACCGTATTCTTCAACTTTAAAGGGACGTACCATTGTGTTGGTTTTGACATGGCAAATGTTAAAGAAAAAAGAACAAATCTGAATACTTAAACATTTCCATTGACAGATCCAAATTTTTTTTTCCTCTAGATGGGATACCGATGATTCAGAACATTCAGCCTTTCACCAGGAAAGATCTCGAGATCCGCTGCCTCGGCGACCGCATACGAGACATTAATGAGATCTTGTACCTCTATCCAAATGTGCCCAAACATGAAGGTTTCAAGAAGTTCTACACAGGTAAGGCTGTACAAAGTGACCAAAGACAGTTGTACGTTAATTTAAACTGATTGGTTGTGGAGTCACCGGGGGTGACTTGCTTTTCTCTTGATTGAAACAGAGCAACAGCCCACCAATTCGGGCTACATTCCCGTAAGTCTGCAGACTAAAGTTGGCACGTAAGTTCAGTCAAGATTTTTCTTTTATTAGCACATTTCAGCAAGAAGGCAGTTGTTATGGAGATGAATAAATCCTATTTTAAGGTGAAACACTGAGTCAATCAAGAACGAATCAAAATGCGTTTTGATTATTATTTTATTAAATGGTTAAGCAAAGAAAATGAGACTCTCTGGCCAGTCCAGGAGAGTGAAGATAAAGTGGATCGCTTTAATATTCACCAGTTACGTAAACATGGAACTTCTCATGAGCTTATCAAAGGAAGCAGTTTGTTTTCACAGCTTGTCTCTGCAGCTCTGTCCTTGGATAAGGCGAGTCAGTAGGTTCAGAAGAACAAAAACAACTTCTCAGAAAACTTCTGTAAATCAAGTTCTGTTTCCCCAGTGAATAAGCTAAAGTTGTATTTCGTTGTAACACCGTTCAAAGTGCTTTACGTGATCAAAACACAACACAGCAATCAACCATTAGACAAGCAACAAACATTTTGTTTTGTTGAATTTGATGTTGAATACCATCATCAAAAGCAACTCTTAAACATGTAGGGTTTTAGCTCTGATTTGAAGGAATTCAGTGTTTTGGCTATTTTTGAGTTTTCTGAAACTTAAAATTAAATTTGAACAAACTTCTGAATTTTTTTAAGCTTGTATACGGTGACGGTTGCATTTCTTATAATGTGCATAAACGCTTCAAACCAGTTAATCTTTCATCATTGAATGGAGATGTAAAGTGTCTCATTATGCACGCATGCATGGGCAGGATCAGTGTGTAGAGAAGTGATAAATATTATAAATGCATCAACGAATTCAATTAAAAAAATATTTCGTTAATGTGTCACAAAATAAAATGTATGTGCCAGTGTCAAACATATCAAAATCTCTCTGTTTGCAGGGTACCAGAGATCGATGGGAGTCACATCAGTGGGTAAGTTGTGCCGCTCCCTGATTCTAGGGAACCATGTAGGAAACTGATCATGTGACACACCAGGGCCAGTTGCTACATGTGCAGAGCGCTGATCACAAAAGGATGAAATATCTTCAAACATTTGACCACACAGCATGCAAATAATTTCCACAAACGTAAAGTGTTTGGTAGGTTGCTAAGCAACGGCCGTGACTCTCTTGCGGTTGAGGTTTGAGTACAGTGTCTTCTGCCATAAATGTCACAGGTAAAAGTATTAATGTTAGCACCATGCTGTATGAATAAACTTCATCTCATATTAATATTTACAGTCATATTCAATAAATTAGAATATTGGCTCCAATGAGGGTTGCTTGACAGACCAAAAGTACACTTTGAAAATAACAACCTTTAGGCAGATATTAAACATACTTTTCATGAGACCCACATGTCTGCATTAAGAATGTTTTTTTTATTGGTCTGATGTAATGTTTTCATCTTGATTGTCATGTTTTCATTAGCCTTAAGCAAGAAATCATCACTATTAACAGAAATAAAAGCTTTAAAACATCAGTCTGTGGGGAATTAATCTATATAAACTGTTTAACTTGTGAGCTGAGTTACTGAAATACATGAACATTTTATTAATATTCTAATTTAGAAGAACAGAATAGAAAATACTTTATTGATCCCCAAAGGGAATATGCCCATTTGTTGACATGCTACTCCTTCTAAGGTATTAAATAACCATAATACAAATATAACCATATGAGACAAAGCTTATTTATTACTATTTACTTATTGAACATGACTGTAGTTGACGAGGACTGCCAGTGTAAAGTGGCGGACCGTAAGCTCTTGCTCTCTTTTAGCTATCTATTCATCAATACAGGGTGGAGTATGGAAGTATGGAGGTATGGAAAACAGGGTGTTTTCCATACCTTAAGTCTTGAACAATCCTTCCTGAAAAGGGAAACATGCAAATTTGCCTGCACAAAAACTGTGTAAAAAGTTGCATTTCATGTTCATTTGACAAAGGGATTCGTTTTTTTTTTTTAAGTCAGCTGTAATTTTGCTTGAATTGAATAAGACATGGTGGATATTTTAAATTAAACAACTTAAAGAGTTCATTTCCTAACTCGATGAAAATTGATTAGAAAATTGATAAAGAATCTAATTAGTAAGTAAGCTTCATAATGACATTGGTATGGCTAAATTCCTGTCAATTCCCATCTCTAGAAAGAAAACAATGAAATAAGTGACAGCTTTCTGCCAACAGGACGTCACTTAGTCCTCTTTTATAAAGTGTACACAGAGAAGGATCCAGTACAAACTCATGTTTGTTTATACCATGGCTAATTCACTGTCACATGCTGTTTTTTCAATATGGCTTGGTTTTAATAATCTTGTATCTTAATTTTTCTACAACTTTTCATATATTTGTTCAGCAAGAAACTTCATTACAAAGGCTAAAATGATCTTGTTCGCTATGTGTGTCTGTTTCTGTGTGTACAGTGAGCTGAGCGTGCTGAATGTCGAAGACACCTACCCATTGTAAGAGTCATTTTATGTGCCAGCTTCTCAGTCTGTTTGCACAGACAGTTGTTGAACTGTGGTCACTTTTCTTTGTGTGGAAATTCTAATTTGATTTCCGTTTCTACAACACAGAAAGTTCTCTTAGTTTTTATTCAACCCTCCCGCGGTCTTAGTGTGTCACGGTCGGACAGTGGGCAAGGGGGTGGGGCAGGGTACGCACGCACGCACGCACGCACGCACGCACGCACGCACGCCAAAAAAAAGGTGAACGTGGGATCAATGCGACCACACCGTACCGCTCATTGACGTGTCCAAACGACCCAATGTCTTAAGACCGCAGGAGGATTAAATTGATCAAATTTACTTCTAGAAACTTGATTTTAAAAGCATGGAAAACCACCTGTCTTTTAATTAAAAACTTTATGATTTGCACTTTGCACGTATTCCTTTCTGGATGCTGCAGTGTTCAGTGACAGTGAAATGATTCCTCAGTTTATTGGATTACAGTCTGCTGAGGATTAACTGTATATATTTTAAGGATATTTTCAGGTATCTATGTTAAGTTTTAATAATAATAATAGTAATAATTTTGTGGCACAGTTATCAACACTTGCTTTTGCAGCAAGAGGATCATGGGTTGGTTCTGCATGAAGCTTGCATGTTTCCACGTTTTACCCACATAGGTGTGTGTACTCAGGCTTCCCTCCCACAGTCCAAAATCATGACTGTTAATTGGTCTCTCTAAATTATCCTTAAGTATGAGTGTGTACTTGCATCCCTTTTTGTCTGTGTATGTGTCTCTGTGTTGCCCTGTGATGAATTATAAATCTAACTACCTGCCTAACGACCACTGGAGAGCCTTCCAGGATAAGTTTGTATAGATCATGAATAGATGTATTGTACATAGCGCTTGGTTGTAGACAGACTGTAACCTGCCGCCGCTCCTGATCCACCTACACAACTCAAACCACATGTACTAATCAAAACGACCATCTAACAGACACTGAAAAAGGAAAAGCTGTGCTAAGTTTATGATGTTAATGCAGGGTGTAGTTTTATAGTGTCTTAACTAGGATGTATACAAGATGAGTAGAACTACAGCTCAGGACTTTAGGCTAAACATCTATCGGCATATAAAGTCAAGCACATTTTTATGGAGTTTTGTATCAGAGCAAAATTATTTGTGTATTTGGTTCTTAGTTAATGTTTTACCATTTCTTACTCCTCTAACTTTATGTTTCTCTTGGTTTAACATGTGCAGAGATACATTACCAGACTTGAATGGCCTCTCCATGTAAGTGTTGTTTCGAAATTTATTTTCTCTGTCTAATATTAGCTCCTAAATAAAACAAAAATCAGTCATTTTAAATATCGAAGTCACTCAACAGGAGTTTAAATTTTATATCGGCTGTTTGAGTGGTCGGTCAGAGTGTCGTTAAAAGGTTTGTAAAGTTGGTGTGATTGATGTTTAGTTTTTTTTTCTGTTGCGGTTTTGCATGTTCAGCAAGTACCACACAATCACTGCTTGTGTGGTGTGTGTGTGTTTCAGTGTTACCTTCTCAAAGTTACAGTAGTTACTGATCTGGTCAAACAAAGAGTGTTTAGTTTTTTGGGGGGGTTTTCAGTTTATAATTTTAATGCTGCAGTTGTTGGACTGTGCTACAGTTTTGTTTCACTTCTATTGATTATGCATTTGAATTTCTTCCAATTTGCAGGGACGCAAACTGCGACCCTATGTAAGTGTAACCTTAAGATTGTTCTGTTGACTTGACATCACTGCTATTGTTGACTATTTCACAACCTTTAAGCTTTTAGTAAATTTGTGAAGTAACCTTCATGCAACCTTACCGCTAATGTAGCAGTGTGCTTTTTACAGTACACTAATTGATGTTTGTGAATAAAATTCACTTAAAAAAATACAAAAAATAATTTCTATGTTTAAAAAAATATGTGAAACACCAGTAACTTTAATAATAGTAATAAAAAAAGTTATAAACAATACCATTATTACCACTTGGTATTTAAAAATACTATTATTTTAAAAACCATTTGGTAAATTAATGGGCTCCCTGTAGTGCAGCTTGATGAAGCAGCCTGACTTTTATGCATGTGGAAAGACAAATGTTAAATGTCTGAAGACTGGATTTTAAAACGTAGTCATTTATTTACATATACTGTAGTGGCATGTTGTTGAAAAGTAAAAGTTGCAATAGACTGTGCAAAATACTAATTATGTCCCTTTTTTAATCTTCTAGTCCCCCAGATGGCATGGAATACGACTTTTATTTCAATGAATTTGCTAAGAACTCTACTTGATATTAGAGACCAAGGCAGATGCAAAGTCAAGACTGAAGACTAACTCATCTTTTATCACTCAAGTGATTGTGCTGTTTTCTTCATTGGGATCTACAGTTTGATTTGATTGTAAATAGAAACTTTTTACAGCTAGAATTACCCTTTTCAGGGCCTTTTAGGCCATTTTCAAATGGCCACACCCATTTGAATATGGCTGCAGCCATATTCAAATGAGAAGAAATAACTATGAGTTCAGTATCGGCGCAGCACCAGTTTAAAGTGTCCAATAGCAGGATTTTTAGCACTACAGAATCTGTATGTCAAGGGCGAGAGATTTCCTAAATGTTGAAGTGTAAGCTAATTTTAGTCCAAAAAAAAAAAATTTGAATAACATGCATTCTTCTCACAAATATTATTCTAGAAACCTAACTTTAAAGTAACAGACAAAGGACTTTTTTATTTTTTCTGGGATGCATTTCTGTGTAGCTCAAGTTTTAAATTCTAAAGCTTTATCCCTGTGCATATATCACGGCTTGCTAATTGCTAGCTGCTTTTGAAGATAAGATTAGCATTTGCTTCTGAGCTCTCTGCTGGGTTTTTACATAGTCTGTAGAGCATTTTGTGATTCAAAAACTCGAAGTCTTAAACTCACACTGTAAAGACACCTCAACTGGATAACTATTATGTGCTAGCGCTCATTTTGTGAACTCCATATGAGCACTAAATTAAAAAGGTATTCCACATTTTGATTGACTGCATTAGATCATCTGGATCAAAATTTAAAGCATTTTTGTAAGCAGATATTTTAAATCTCCTCCACATGTAGATTATTTTATGCACACTGGAGTGATTTATTTCAGTTTATTTCTTTAAATTCCTCACCACACTCATCAGCTGCCACAGTCGTCTTTACGGATGAACGCTGTGTTAACCACATCAGAGGCTAATAATGCTTAGCCAACTGTGGTATTAACGCTAGCATCTTATACGAAAAGGCCATTTCATTGTTTTAACGCTGTACAACATTTGATCTATTTTTTTTTATTCTAAAATACTTTATTCACCAATATGTTACTAGATTATTCTACACTTGGCATAGATTCTTTTAAAACAGTATTTGTGAATCTCAGTCTTGTTAAGGCACTGGATGTATCTTCCAATCTGAACTTAAAAGTAACACCTCAAGATAAAAATATAATTTGCTTATGGCAACAATTTTAATGTTTATCTTCATTTTAACCGCTGTTATATGTGGGTAACATGGATTCCCTAATTAGCACCCAAAAATGTGTTGCTAGCTTATGAATCCCCACTGACAGGTAAGAGGGAAAAAATAAGGAAAGGAAATTGTATAAATATTGAGTACAAAAAATGTAAAAAAAAAAATAAAAAAAAAACACACACAAAAAAACATTGCTAAAATCTTCATGGATACTTTTTACTGGTGCTGTTGCTTTAGTTATTTTATTTAAATTCAACATTATGTGAGTCACCCTTTTCCTTTCCAGCATTTACCTCTGAAACAGCAACACAACAAGACCAGTCCACTTTGAATATGGTACTTTAAATTAGAAACCCATCTGGATTAAAGGGGTTTTCTTGTCTTTTGTGTTTTATGCTTACTGGTGGACTTCTTTGAAAAACACACACAGATACATGACTTGTGCATTTATTAACTCCTCATTCAGTTGCTTGTTTGGTTTGATTTAAGCTAAATAAGAGAGTTGTCATCTACTTCAACTTATTGGGTGTTATGTTTTGGTAGTCCTGCTATTTTTCTTTGTAATGTTGGGGGTGGGTTCAGTGACATTGTATTTTCTCAGTTGTATAATCTGTCCTTACCTAAACACTTCAGTTACTGCATGTTGAACATTTAACCATAATATATTACACAATATTTATGCTTAATAGTCTGATAGTTAGTGTTCAGTCACAATCCTGGATTCAGTCACAAAAGAAAACAATAATAAACAATAATCATTTTCTTTCATTACTGCGGACTGCTGTACTATACCATGGTGATGGCAGATGCAGTAAAGGTGGTGGGCAAGACTTTAGTTATATCTATGAGTTAAATTTTTTTATACTATTTTTATATATAAAACTCTAGTTGACAGTATTTTCAAAAAGCTTTAGCAAACACTGTTACAGTACATTCATATGTTTATCTCACATTAAAACCCAATGGTAAACATGAGACAAATCATCAGTATATCAGAACGACAGAAACTACACAAACACAAGGGTTAGCATGTTAGGCCAACTCCAGTGACAACATTACAAATGGTAAAACTGGTTGTCATTCTCTTGTTTGTAAATACATAACTGCAAATTGAACTGCTTCACTTTTATTTTGTATGAAAAGTTGTGTGATTTAAATACTTTATTAGCTTATAAGATAGAACGAAATGTAGCAAAAGTTCCAACCACAAGTAAAGGGATAGCGCACAATTTAAAAAAACAAAAAAAAAAACTTCTGTTGAGACTGTACAGTATGCTGTTATTATCCTACCCACAGTTGATACTTAGTAATCTCTCGGCAAATCCGTTTTGCAAACATACAGATTTGTTTCCCCCCCAAGACTGAAGTTAGCTGCTTGTACGAGAGCCCCACCTTCTCAAAACGACTCATATTTTGAAAATGCAAGATGCTCGTGGCAGTTTTGGCATATTGACATGTTTGCATTAGATGATTATTTCCAAAGAAGGTGTTGGATGTTTAAGCAGAATGCCAAGATTTGGGAACAATCTTACAAATGAAGAGATTTTGAGAAAATGTGCTTATGTGACTGAAAATATTATTACCCCTTGTGCTGTCTCTGGGTATAAAATGGATTGCAAATTAGTAAAAAGGCAAATGACCTAATACAGAAACATTGAAACCACAGCAAAAATATTGACTGTGATGTATGTCTGTCTAAAGCAGAGGTTCCCAAACTGTGGGGTGCGCCCTCTAAGGCCCCCTAGTGGAGGCGCCGTGCCATTGCAGGGGATGGGGGGGGGGGGGGGCCCCCCCCCCCCCCCCCCCCCCCCCCCCCCAAAAAAAATACCTGAACGGTGTATGCGCTGGGTTTTTACCTTAGAATGACTAACTCTCTGTTATTCCTATGTCAGTTTGTCAGAAAATGTTTGGGAACCACTGGTCGAAAGAAACCATGTGTTGATGAAGTAGACCGCTGTTGTATTTCTTCGACTGTAACAGATTGTTGCTCCGGCTGGAAAGGTTTTGCTCCTTCACTGCAAAGATAGTGGCTGTTTTCAGGTTTTTAAAGGAACGTTTATGGGAGCTGGCAGGGGTCCTTTGAGTCTGGAATAATTTTAACGTGGCATAAACCCCGTTTTTAGACTCCAGTCAGATTGTCTGGTAGCTTCAGCCTTCTGGAAAAACAAATCTGCTTATTAAGAAATATATTAGCTACCTGCAACTGCTTCAAACAAACCTCCTTTGAAGAGTCCTGAACATCCTCTTTTAAAAACATTGTAAAAATATATATATATAATTTTTATAGTTACTCTTTTTATAATTTAAGCCTTATGCAAATCAATTCTGTGTAAGCTGATTGAATTCAGTTTTTAACATTCCTTACACCTTAAGCCATTCCTTTCACATGTTTTTATATTCCAATGTGTTTAATGTTCCTTGTCACGTGGATTTATCACGTTTTACACATCATGCAGTTTTTTTGGTAAAAGTCCTCGGTTGTTGTGATATATACATATATATAAGATTTCAAACTACCATAAAATTAAAACTGCCAAAATAATTGGGTGAATTTATTTACAAATGCATTCATCTACACATGTATTATTTCAGAATTTCAAAAACACTGCAGTTTCCTTAATAGAAGCAGCAGCACATAGATGAGTCACAGAAATAACCTCCGGGTTTTTGTTCTTGTAAATAGAGCTGGGACCAGAAATGTTAATCGATCTTGTTCCTCCAAATGTCTAAGATTTTCCATATGCAAATGTTTTGTCTTGTAATTGATTGTATACACTCCAAATAAACTCGAAAAGAACACAAACAAAAACAGAAATTGCAAACTGATTTTTTTGTCTGTTTTTTTTTTTTTTTTTTTTTTTTGACATTTAAAGCCAATTATGCCCCAAACTATGCCTGTTACCACAGTAATGTTTGTACATATCAGGATTTGTTTAGTCTATGATAACATGGATAGCGAGCATCTTATACTTTCTATCAATCCACTTTCCATCCATTTTCAACAGCCTTTTTTTTTTTTTAGAAAAAAATCTTACACTGTACAACATAATGTTTCCATTAGAAAACAATCTAATTTTAATTTTTTTTTTTTTTTTTGTTAAAAATTTAAATTCTACTCAACCACAGCCATGGAAATCACTCCGGGAGTGAAAAAAGGAAATGAAGTGAAGGTGTTACGTAAGTGAAGCAGAAAGAGAATCAGTTTACAAAGCTTGGATCAAGAAATGTTCTAGCAAAACTAGCAAAATGTTAACTTCTCTCTGAGCCAAAGACAGGAAAAAGGGTGAGTGAAGAAGGGAACAAATACAATTTCAAACTTCAATCTTCCTCTTGGAGAATGTATGAAAATCAAGATGCATTCTGTTAAATTTCAAATTTAACAGAATTGAGCCTTTCAACTTGAGCAGACTGCAGCTGTCCCACCTCAGGGACTCTGCCTTTATTAACAGAAAATTTAAGTTTCTCTGATGTATAATTTACACAGCACAGTACCAATGAAAAAATAAAAATAAAACACCTGGTCTTCAGGACAGCGAGCCGAGTTTGCTCTTCTTGATTTTCCTTGGTAGACTAAGTAAATAAAATGTAATAACTCAAAAACGCCTAAACATGGGTCTTCAGTCAGCTCTGCTCTAAATCTCTGGGTACAAAATTTTTGTCAGAAAGTCAAAGAAAGCATAAACCAATGCAGTTACTGCATATGATCCGAATGTGGATGTTGCGAACAAAGTATTTACTTATAAAGTAATATGCTACGGTTCTGGGTAAAATAGTAAAATTTAATATTGGCACTTAAAAAAAATCTGCCTAAAAGAAAAAAAAATATTTTAATTGTGGATCTTTATTTTAAAAAATAAATAGCATAATATAGGGGCTTTACTACATGAGACACAAATGCTCAAGTGTTTGAAAGGGGCTTTAAGCCGTGATTGAAATCCAGATTTATCCCCTAGGAGAAAATACAATTACCCTAAACATGCAGATTTCTTGGAGTTTTACAGTAAATTATATTTTCCCATTTAGGGCAAAAAAAATAAATTAAAAAATGGTGACACATCTCTAACGTAATGTGGCATTATATAACTCATTATACAAACAATTTTAGGAATGACATTTCAGGGAAAATATCTTGTAAAACAAGCATACACATACACACAGACAAGCAGGCGCACTCAATTTGTCTTTCTCACCATCACTCTTATCACACAGGCTTGCATATACACACACACACACACACACACATACAGCTAAAAGAAAGAAAAGGCGAAAACAATACCAATACATATCTTGACCAAAGTTTGTGAAACAAAACACAGAGCGAGATCACGCTCAATCAAAATTGGAAATGCAGGCGGAGGTCCTTTGTTCTACTGTAGCTTCACTCTTAGCAAAATGAAAGGCAGGGAAAGTAAACAGAAAGGGAAGTAAAGATGGAAATGGCACCACTATCCCTGGCAGTTACAGCTGTCTGGTCAGCAAGGAGTAACTGTTTCACCCTGCTACAGGGCATGGGGTGCTTCCTTTAGCGGCAAGTCCTCCTCCAACCCTCCGACTCTGGGAACAGGAGAAGGAACAATGGGTGCAGGTGAGAGTAAGTAAGTTAATCGGGGCAGTGCATGCCTTTTCTATAGGTCCTGTAGGGAGCACGACAAGGATGACAAGGGGGCTTTTCACCACTCTTTGCAATTGTCGAGGAGCGGGAGGAGGCATGCGTGCAAAAACGGTGTGTGGGCTGCGGATGGACTGGGAACCAAGGGTGCAGAGTGTGGCGCTACAGGTGGAAGGGGTGTGAGAGAGGTTGGGGGTGTCAGAAAGCAAATCTCCAGATTTATAGGGCCTGTGTCTTAAGCTCAATGGACTCTCCCCTGGTCTCCTGCTGGGCCTCGGCCTCTGGGGGCCGGGTGCCCTTCAGCGTGGCCAGCCTCTCGGAGAGGCCGCGCATGCGTGGGAACAGCAGGAAGTCATAGAGCAGAGCGCCTATGGCACCGCCGATCATGGGTCCCACCCAGTACACCTGGACAGGACGAAAACCAGCATAGTTAATATAGAAACACCACAACAATTTGGTTTGGATTTCTTTGCAGAGCAAATGTATTTACACATCTTACCCAGTGGTTAACAAAGTTCCTGACAAGGACAGCAGGGGCGAAGGACCTTGCTGGGTTCATTCCCGCTCCTGTGTAGTATATCTAAGCAACAGGCAGATAAAGTGGTTCAGCATTGTGGCTGCTTATCTGCTCATTTAGCACACGGTGGTCACTAAATCTAGCATACTATTCAATGTTGTTCATTTATAGTCTTGATGTATTGATTTTATGTTGAAAGGGTGTTAGAAGGATGTCCTTCATAGTAGAAATTATCTACTGAAATGTTTGCCATGATTTTGACTATATCATACAAGGAACTTAAATAACACCAGAAATCT